GAGAGAGAGAGAGAGAGAGAGAGAGAGAGAGACTTACTTGAACAGAGTGCCATTTCCGCATGTTCTTTCTTCCAACGGCCTCAGAGGTTCACTTGTCATCTGCTCTGCTATAGACGTATCGCCAGAAACTGTCTCTGAAGAAAACAGACAACAAAAAGAAACATGAATTCGACTTTGATGGGTTAATTTATTCTTTGTGCACCACCATCTACGGCTTTACTTGCAACAAGTCTGTACGAAACCGGCCATGTTAACAATATTTTACCAAGACAAAGAATAAAACCACAATAATAATATGGAATATTAGTAAGGAGAAGCAGACTATTCCCGAATGTCCATCAACCATAATTCCCAGATGTACAGGGTGATAAAAAAAACAAACAAACAAAAAAACACAATAAAAAGCAAAATAACAACAAACAACTGTACAACTTAAAAATTTTTTTTTCCTCCTCACTGAAGTTTTGCGTTTCAAATTGGGACACACCATTTGGAAGTCAAAAGGAATTTGTCTGATATTAATTTTAGATAAATCCACAGAATAGTGCGTAAAAAAACAACCCTTTTTCAGCTATGTCCCCATTTTTGTAGCATGACACACTAGTTCACATTAGGCCTACCACTAAAAATCTCAACGATTGCGCCATTTTGCAAACTACAGCAGTCCAACAGGTCAACAGAAGTGTGCAGATAGTGTTTCTCAAGTTTCCTTTGCCTGCCGAGATCATGGTTAAGATTAGTGAAGAGCAGGGAGCTTTTTGTATTGAACATTTCTTCAACACCAACTCATTTCGTAAGTTTCGCACAAGGCACGGAAATAATGTTAGAGTGCCCTTAAGGCCTTCTTTGATGTCAAGGGTGAAAATGGTCCATCAGTTAGGACCTGTAGAGAATCAGAACTAAACATTCCATAACAAAACGACCATTTCAAGTCAAACACACACGTCACCAGGGTGCAAAATTCAGTAGATGAGCCCCATGAGACGTCTGTCCGTAGACGATGTCTGCACCAATGACTTTCCTACATCTCAACGGTTCGCATTCTCAAGGCAGATCTTCATCTACGACTGTCCCATTTTCTTTTTCGCGAAGCTATCAGAGGACAGAAATGTGTTCATGATTCCTCGATCGTCTTGAAAAGCGTGAACACTTCTTCTATGACATCTGGTTCCTTGGCAAAGCCCATACTATTCACCTTTCAGGTTATATCAACTCCACAAATGCTGTCTATTTGGGCAACCCCCCCTCCCCCTGTGTCTCTAGAAACAGCTCCATATTGTAAGGTGTACAGTTTGTGTGGCTTTGAGAACTCATGGTTGAGTGGATCCTTGTGTTTGGCCTCCAGTGAACATTGCGAACGACGCGTTTAAATGTGTCGAGTCCAAAGGAGGACATACAGACCATTGTTCTCAAAATTCTAGAACTTACAAAATATGTTTTTTAATTCTCTAGGAAAAAAGAAATAATGCTTAAAGGTTACACGGATGGAAAAATTGGTTTTTAAAAATAAAAGGAAAGGAGATAACAAATCAATCGTTTCATGACTTTCTTTACAAGATCTTTAAAGTTGGTGCATTTTGCATTTATAGGTGGTTTTTAAAAAAGCCATTTCCGTCCCCCTCCCCCCC